AAGTGATTAAAACCTTAATTCATTCACAAAATTTATTCCTTTTACTGTTAGACTGAAATTCATCCATCCTAATAAAACCAGAACAAAACCAGGACAAAACCAGAACAAAACCAGAACAAAACCAGGACAAAACCAGAACAAAACCAGGACAAAACCAGGACAAAACCAGAACAAAACCAGGACAAAACCAGAACAAAACCAGAACAAAACCAGAACAAAACCAGGACAAAACCAGGACAAAACCAGAACAAAACCAGAACAAGACCAGAACAAAACCAGGACAAAACCAGGACAAAACCAGAACAAAACCAGAACAAAACCAGAACAAAACCAGAACAAAACCACTGTCCTCCATCCCACTGTCCACTCAGGAGACACACAACTGTTTTATTTTGAAAAGCTGAAAAAGTTTCAGGTCTTACAGAACTCAGGATCCATGAAGACCTGCAGCTCAGGGTCTGAAGGACCAGCTTCAAAACTGGATCAAGTCCAGAACATCCAACCACATCCAACCACATCCAACCAAAGGCCAGAACATCGAACCACATCCAACCACAAAGCAGAACATCCAGCAACATCCAACCACAGAGCAGAACATCCAACCACATCCAACCACATCCAACCACAGAGCAGAACATCCAACCACATCCAACCACAGAGCAGAACATCCAACCACAGGCCAGAACATCCAACCACAGAGCAGAACATCCAACCACAGGCCAGAACATCCAACCACAGAGCAGAACATCCAACCACAGGCCAGAACATCCAACCATATCCAATCACATCCAACCACAGGCCAGAACATCCAATCACATCCAATCACATCCAACCACAGAGCAGAACATCCAACCACATCCAACCACAGAGCAGAACATCCAATCACATCCAATCACATCCAACCACAGAGCAGAACATCCAACCACATCCAACCACAGAGCAGAACATCCAACCACATCCAATCACATCCAACCACAAAGCAGAACATCCAGCAACATCCAACCACAGAGCAGAACATCCAACCACATCCAACCACAGAGCAGAACATCCAACCACATCCAACCACATCCAACCACAGAGCAGAACATCCAACCACAGGCCAGAACATCCAACCACATCCAACACCAGGCCAGAACATCCAACCACATCCAACCCCAGGCCAGAACATCCAACCACATCCAATCACATCCAACCACAGGTCAGAACATCCAACCCCAGGCTGCAGGCTGTGGTGGGGGGGTGTTCAGGTTTTAGTTTCATGTTYTGAAGGTTCAGGACCTGAAACAGCTGAAGGTTTCTGAACCTTCAGCTGTTYTTGTTGTAAAATCCAGCTGTTTGCAGTTGTGACAGCAGAAGCTGTTCTCTGGGAGCTTCAGGCTCTGTAAACCATCAGTGGACCATGTAAGGGTCCAGGAGCCAGCGCTGGCTCAGCTCTGGATGTTTGTGTGTCGGAGCATCTGAACATCTGAAGGACCCACAACTACATGCACACATCAGTCTGTGAGGAGCACATGTTCTCACCCAGGACCTCCAGCTCTGCCTGCGCCGTCAGGTTCTGGTTCTTGTTGGAGGCKCTGCAGCTGTAGGAGCCCGAGTCATCGTCAGTGACGGTCCTGATCAGCAGGTTGCTGCCGGCCAGCAGGGAGTACTTCTTGTTCCTGCACAGAAAACACAGAGCGGATCTGAACCACWGGAACCGGTTCACTGAGGCCCGGGTCCACACGGCTGTTTCTGAGGGAGGACCCACCAGGTCTGCAGGACTTCGTCTCCTCTGGTCCACTGCACGCTCGGGGTCGGGTATCCTGAGGCGGAACATTCCAGCACGGCGTTGGTCCCCAGCAGAGCCGTCACTCTGGAGGGTCGCTGGAGGAACTGGAGGTTCCGGGTCAGGCCGGGTTCTGAAAGAGAGCAGAACACAGAACTCGTTCTGTCAGTCCTCTCACAGGTCCGTTTGAGGAGCACTCTCAGCTACTACCACACATCAGTTCAGCTGCAGCTCTCAGAGAGAGGCCCAGCACCCGGACCTGGTCCTCCAGATCCACTGAGACCCAGGTTTACATGGTCACCCAGAGCTGAAGAACATCAGAGCAGACACACGCCCCCTGCTGGAGACAGGAAGTCCTAGAAGCAGCCATCTTGGATTTTTGGTCAGTAAAGACATGGCTTTATGTGGACTGATGAGCTTCCACTAAATCTWTTTTTATTTCTCTTTTTAAATCCACTAAACTTTCACAAGTGTTAAACTTCTATTTTTATGTTGTTTATCCTGAATTAAATTAAAACCATCAGTTCTTACAAGCAGATCTGGACGTGTCAGGCACCGTGTTAGCATGTAGCATCTTAGCAGCTAAACTTCAAACTAAGAGCATCAAAAAGAAATAAAAAAATATTTAACAAATTTAAATAACCAATACAAAAACTGACTGTATAAAAATGGTGCAGAAAATATTAAAAAAAATGAACTCAATCAAAGAAACGCTTTTATTCTGAAAGGGATAAAGTGGAAGTATTACAAGTTATATAGTTAGATAGTTATATCTCTGGTTTGGATTGGCCGATTTGCCACAGCATCCCGACCATTCAAAAGKTTGTTAGCTGTGCTCACTACTGCCCAACACATTCCTCCAAACAGAGCAGTTTACAGGGACGTCTGCAACAGGTAAGATATTAACTGTTAATAACCTCTCAAACATGAGGTTTGTCCTCTTTCCTGCACAGAAACTGAAGCTTTGTTCTAATAAAACTACAGTTGAACCAAAGTTAATCTACGGAGGGGATTGTGTTCAGAAAGTGTGACAAAGAGACGTTTTCTGAGGCCAGTGGGGATTTTTTCTCCTGATTTAAGCTCTGCTAAATCCATCAAATCCCACTAACTTCAGCAGAATAACCCATTTATTTCAAACAGCTTCATAAATTCTGCATTTTAGGATTTAATCAGCGGGCAGAGAGGTTCAGACTGTCTGCGTTTGCTTTTTATGCTTTAGACTCGTTTTAGGAGCGGAGCTGATTTCAGAAGAGTTACCGCCTGAGGAAACACAGACAGTAATGGACCCGGTCCGGTTCTACACGCCGACAGGTCTGCCTGAGGGGGAGAGGGTCCGGGGGGAGCCCCGAGACTGACTCCTGCAGAAGACAGGAAGTTACATCGTCTCTCAGACACACACACACACACACACACACACACACAGATCAGTTTACTTTGTATTACTTACATTAATTCCTGCAGCCGAACCAGTACCAGTACCTGTCTAACCCCCACCTAGAACAGGACATTAGTCAACCTGTTTTGTAATTTTAATAAAAATTTAATTAAAAAGATAAATTAAAGGAAAATTTTGAAATTAAAAGAAAAATTTAAATCTGAAACGTCCTGGGTAAAACAAAGATAAAAATGTTTTATGTTTAATCATGCTAATTAAAACCTAATTTAAAATAATGAATGGAATCTGCAGTTTGTTTCAGACTCATTTCTCATTATTTAGAGTTTTATCTTGTTATTAAAATCCTAATTAGCTCATTCTTGAACTGATTGTTTAGTGAAAGCAGCCGTCTGACAGGCTGACCTTTGACCCCTGTGATTCTGCTCAGATCATCACAAACAGAACCGAAGACAGATCACAGAGATGATCACACAGCCGCACCGACCGACGCTCCTTTAATTCTTTCACCGACACGCAGCCGAAGGAGCTCGTCAGCAAATCAGATGGCGCCCGGACGCCGCTCGCATCCCAATGAGGACGGAGGCAGGACGTATGCAAAACGCTGCAGACAAAAGGAGCCGAAAGGCCTCCGAGACCTGGAGACAAAGATCCACCCAGGATTTATTCTGTTTCAGGTTGTTCTTCAAGAAGAAAATACACAAATCTTCACCTGAACGTTCACACACACGATGTAGGTCAACGCAAAAACAAGTGAATTTATTTAGTCATGGAGGGTCTCCAGAACCAGACCCAGACCGAGTGGGATTCTTGTATATTTTATATTATTTTATCAGAGCCGGACCTGGTCCAGCCTGGGAGCAGACATGGAGGGTTGTTGGGAGGGTCTGCAGCACAGACCAGGCAGGTACAGAGCGTCGGTTCAACGCCCTCTTTAGTTTTGCACCATCCAGTTTCTATGTAAGTGTTATGGACTAATTATCTCTCTGTTTCACCTTGACACCGTCCAGTACTCATAKGTCTTATGATCCTTCGGTCCGTGGTGAATTTCCGAACTGCGCCGACACATTAAAAAAATAAAAACACCACCGTCTTCATTTCTCAGATTATTTTGCTGCCCCATTGAATCCTGGGATATCCTCGGCTGGTGAGGATACATGGATGCATCCTCGGATTTCAACAGGAAGAAGGACGCATTCCTCGGCCGCATGATGAGGAGCTTTCGAATTGGGACAGTCCTCCGCGCGGGGCAGTGACGTATGCAGCCGACAAATGTGCACTCATGAGGACCCAGCCCCTGGACTGAGACACAGCCATCAATTTCAATACGGCTGAAAAACCACCTCATCCTAGCGCAAAAACATTTTGTCAAAAAATATAAGTTTTTTTGAAACTGACGTGTTTCCATTGAGCAAATTTATTTTTTGAAATTCTAATTTGCACATTTTCATGGACAAAGAAAACACAGCTAATGATATCCAGCCAAGAGCGTGGAGCGCAGGTTTATGAAGCCAGAAGACACAAAGAGGAACTGCAGGATCCTGGACAGAGGAGGCAGATTGTACCGATTTAGTGTGTGTGTGTGTGTGTGTGTGTGTGTGTGTGTGTGTGTGTGTGTGTGTGTGTGTGTGTGT